GTGCGGGTGAAGGCACACTGCAGCCACCTGGAAAGGACAACCTCTACAGTAACCCGCTTAAATGGAATGGCTGAGAGACAGGTGGCCCCGTGACGCAGGTGCAGGTGAGACGGGCCCTCCGTCCCTGCGTCGGAGCTCGGAAGTCCACAGTGTGGGTTCAAACCCGTGAGCGAATTGTTAAAGCCCCACTTTCTCCTTGTAACTCAAATCAGAAACAGGTGAGGGAACCCAGCGCGGCTGAGGCGGGGCCCCACCTGGGCCCTGGCCGGGGACGCCCCGCCCACGAGGGGCGTGGCTACCGGGCTTCTCGGCCCCGAGTGGCCCAGCCCGAGCGCGGTGGCCCCGCCCCCTGCATATAAGAGCGGTGCGGCAGCGGCGCTAGCGCAGTTCTCACCGAGACCCGTCACCCGGACTCTACGTGAGACGCACCTCTGGCCTCACCATGGTGAGTGCGGCCCCTCCGGGACCACGGCGTCTCCGAATTTGCCCCTCTCCTTCCGGGACCTTCCCTCCTGGGATGCGCGGGGCTCCCCACCCGGCTCTCTAGGACCCCAGGAGGTGCTAGAGGGGTGCACCGCCCCCGCCCCCACCCCCCGGGTGACTTTGGCCAAGGCTTGTTCTGCACTTTTGGAGACTGGGGATGGGGTGGAGCGGAGCGGGATGCCTCCCTGGCAGACAGGCGTCCTCCTGAAAATCCCCTCCTGCTCCCCCAAGCGTTTGCACCCTAACCTTCCCTCGGGGAGTCACGCGGTCGCGCTCCCAGCCCTTTGCGCCGACGAGGGGAGACCCGCTGGGCTGCCCCGCTGCTCGGCCCCTCCCCCAGCCCCGCTCCCTGCAGCCGACCGAACTCTTGCTGGGCACTAGGAGCGGGAAGGGGGTCCGATTACTTGGTCCAGCATCCCCTTTTCTTCCGACTACAGGGGCATCCCTTCTACCCACACCCCCTCCCCCCCGTGACTCAGCACCCCGCTTCTGAGCCGGGAGGGATGGCGGGAAACCGGCCCCTCTGCCACCGGAGCCCGGGTCCGCGGATGGGCAGAGACAGCTGGCGTGGAGCAAGAGCATGGGGCCGAGGCCAGGTTGGGGGGAGGGAGAGAGGTGTGTGTAGGGGGTGATATTTATAGCCCAGAAACGGGGGCCGAAATCCAATCCTGGCTTTCGACTGGGATGTAACTGGAACGAGTCTAGGAGGGAGGAGAATGTGGGGCCTGGGTGCAGGATTGCGCTCACCCTACCCCCGGCAAGGCAGGTTACCTCTAGGGCCTCACCGCAGGTTCCGCTTCCTTTTCTGGGTATTTGGAAAGTCACCCCGCCATTTCAGTGTTGAAAAGCGAAGCCCCGCCCGCCCTGTGCCGCACCGCTTTTATCTCAGGCTGTCAGGAATGAGCCTAAGGCAGCGAGTGCCCCAGTGCCCGCAACCCTTATTGCCCGCGCGGGTCTGCCCTTAATGCTATTTCCGTGAGGGCTGACATGGTGCTGAAGACTCCCAGGGTGCGGGGGTGGAGGTGGGGAGAGGAGCCAGATGGGACTGATCCCCAGAGCCAGATGGTATTTAAAGGTGGGGGAGAGGGCATCCTGATGGCCGGTGTGGTCAGTTAATGTCAGGTTAGAAGGCTGAGCTCTCTTTGCAGCCCACAGGAAGGAAAGGGGGAGAAATTCTAGTTGTTCATCCTCAAAGCAAAGAGTTAATCACGTGGGGAGCCCCTAGCTATAAATGTACAGCTTCAAACCTTCTGTGCTTTCTTAGGCGCTTCAGAAGCTGGGTCTGTGGGTGTAGGGATCCAGAACAGCTGTAAAGTCTCTTGTCCTTGTCTGGGTGACTGCAGTGTCTGTCTCTCTCATATGCGTTTGCCCTCTCTGTCCTCCTGAGTGGCCTATGAATGGCAGAGTCATGTAGAGCCACAACTTTTATTGACAAGTTGAGAGGTAGACTACTACTGAGAGGTAGACTAAGGGGTTGGCCTGCCCTACTGTTTCCTTCCATGGAAGTTGGGAAGCTCTATGCAGGGGAGTCAGCAGGCTACCAGCCTCTTCCGAACCTCTGCCCAGCCCCAAGCCTCTGCTTTTGCCTACTGAGTCATCTGAGCTGGAAGGTGATAGCATGGGAGAGAGGTCATGAGGTGAGGATTCATGGCATGGGACTTATGCTGTGCCCCCTCTCTTTGTCCCTTAGCGTGAATGCATCTCAGTCCACGTTGGGCAGGCAGGTGTCCAGATGGGCAATGCCTGCTGGGAGCTTTACTGCCTGGAACACGGGATTCAGCCTGATGGACAGATGCCCAGTGACAAGACCATTGGGGGAGGGGACGACTCCTTCACCACCTTCTTCTGTGAAACTGGCGCTGGAAAGCATGTGCCCCGGGCAGTGTTTGTGGATCTGGAGCCCACTGTGATCGGTAAGAGGAACTGGAAGTAGAATTGAGAGGAGCAGAGAGTGATTCTAAACTTCCCTGGAGAAAGGGTGTCTTTAGGCCTGGTTGTCCTGACCCTGAAAACTCCTAAGCTAAAGGAGGCAACCTGGCTGTCCTGACCCCAAAAACTCCTAAGCTAAAGGAGGCAAGTGGATCGCATGCTGGGCTGGGCAGCAGGCCTGGGTTTCTCCCACACACTGGTATCTCAGCCTGGCAGAAGGATGAGCACTTCCAAACATCTGACCGCAGCTACCAAGCTGGAGGAGGGAGGTCCCTGGTAAGCCTGCCTTGTGGTTTGTCCCCTAACAATGTGGTTTATGCCCTTCCAGATGAGATCCGAAATGGCCCCTACCGGCAGCTCTTCCACCCAGAGCAGCTCATCACTGGGAAAGAGGATGCAGCTAACAACTATGCCCGTGGTCATTATACCATTGGCAAAGAGATCATTGACCCAGTACTGGACCGGATCCGCAAGCTGGTGAGGGGGAGGCATGGGAGGGAGTTTTTGAGCTGAGGCTAATGGTTGGGAATTTTTTTTCCAGATCTGTTTCAGGTGTTGATCATTAATGGTACATATTCCAGAGTGCGCGGCTACCATGCCATGCTCATTAATCATTCCCCGTCTCCTGAGATATTTCAGTCTTTTGTAGAACCAGCAGAGTTACTCGGGCCCTTCCCGTACCTACATTGTTCTTTCTCTCTTGCCTTTCAGTCTGATCAGTGCACAGGACTGCAGGGCTTCCTGGTCTTCCACAGCTTTGGAGGGGGCACCGGCTCTGGCTTCACCTCCCTCCTCATGGAGAGGCTCTCTGTTGACTATGGCAAGAAATCCAAGCTGGAGTTCTCCATCTACCCAGCCCCCCAGGTGTCCACAGCCGTGGTGGAGCCCTACAACTCCATCCTGACCACGCACACCACCCTGGAGCACTCAGACTGTGCCTTCATGGTGGACAATGAAGCCATCTATGACATCTGCCGCCGCAATCTGGACATCGAGCGCCCAACCTACACCAACCTCAACCGCCTCATCAGCCAAATTGTCTCCTCCATCACAGCTTCCCTGCGCTTCGATGGGGCCCTCAATGTGGACCTGACTGAGTTCCAGACAAACCTGGTGCCCTACCCCCGCATCCACTTCCCCCTGGCCACCTATGCCCCAGTCATTTCTGCAGAGAAGGCCTATCATGAGCAGCTGTCAGTAGCAGAGATCACCAATGCCTGCTTCGAGCCCGCCAACCAGATGGTGAAGTGTGACCCCCGCCATGGCAAGTACATGGCCTGCTGCCTGCTGTACCGTGGAGACGTGGTGCCCAAGGATGTCAATGCTGCCATTGCTGCCATTAAGACCAAGCGTAGTATTCAATTCGTGGACTGGTGCCCCACAGGTTTCAAAGTTGGTATCAACTACCAGCCACCCACTGTGGTGCCCGGGGGTGACCTGGCCAAGGTGCAGCGAGCCGTGTGCATGCTGAGCAACACGACTGCCATCGCCGAGGCCTGGGCCCGCCTGGACCACAAGTTCGACCTGATGTACGCCAAGAGGGCGTTTGTGCACTGGTACGTGGGTGAGGGCATGGAGGAGGGTGAGTTCTCCGAGGCCCGGGAGGATATGGCTGCCCTGGAGAAGGATTATGAGGAAGTAGGCATCGACTCCTATGAGGATGAGGATGAAGGAGAAGAATAGAACAGCTGCCTGGAGCCCACTCACAATGTTTATTGCAAAATTCTTTCGAAATAAACAGTCTCCTTGCACGGTTTCTTGTCCCCTCTGTGAGTGCTTGAGCTTTTGCTGCCTTCTTTGTGCTGCTGCTGCTGCTTCTGCTTCTGCTGCTGCCCTATTTGCTGCTCATGACCCTTTTTCTACCATGGCTGAAGTTGGGACCTGCCAAGGGGCCTTGCCAGGCCAGAAAACATGACCCCAGGGACTTTGATGTACAGCCTTGGCAGGGGTGAGGGGTGCACCCAGGATAGTGAGGAAATGAGAACGGAACCCTGGACTTGTCTATCCAACCACAAGTTGTTGAAAGGTACAAGTCTTTACTTCCTCTCCAAGTAGGCATTTAAGTTCAGCAATTTCGTATTTGGGAGTTAGACTGCTGTCCCATTCTGCCTGCTGCTTCTGCATTCACCAGCTTGGAGACAAGGCCTGGCCCAGGCATCTCTGCATTATGAGAGCTTGGGAGTGGGACGGAGCTGGCCCAGAGTTCCTGGGCATAAAGCCTAGTCCTAAGCTTGGGGGATGGGAGGGAACAAGGGCGATCCCCCACAGTTGTTTGTGTCACTGCACCTCCCAACAGCTTTGCATAGCTTACTGTCTATCCTGCTGCTTTGCTGGGGCTTAGGGCTGTGCCATTAAAAGTCAGGTCATCTCCCCTCTGTTTGTGCTTTCTTTCTGGCCTCAGCCTCTGTGCTAGCTGGTGGGAGCCTCTGCCAGGGCCCTGGGGGAAATTTCTACTTTGCTAATGGGCACCCTAGGGCCCACAGTGACGTCAGTGTGTGAGGGTGGGCAGGGTTGGGGAAGGGGGTAGAAACTTCAACCTCAGGAGCAGAAGATGCCAACTCTGCCCTTGCTTCCCCTCCCTGGTGATTCAGGGACGCAGTGTCCTTCCCTAGGGAACAGGTTACAAGCCCTGCAAAGGTAGGGCCCCTGTTTACTCAGCAGATAGGCAGGAAGTGGCAGCTGGATACTGCCACACCACATTGGCCTCATTAATCATTAACTGTGTGTGAGCTAGAACCATCTGGGAGAAGCTAAAGACCCAAATGGCTGCTAAATCCACTCCCCTTGCCCTCGGGCTAAGGCTGGGAGACTTGCTATGTCAATGTCCCAAAGCTTCCAGGTGTCTCCACCCAGAAGCCTTTGCCTGGCAAACCTGCTGGGCTGCTTTGACTAAGCTACCACCCCGGGAATGAAGGAAGGGAAGAACAAGCAAATGTGCTTTTAGGGTCCTGGTTCCAGTTCTTGGCACAGATAGAAACCAGCTCAAGTCAGAGCAGCTTTAAATTTTTGACAGGCAAGCTAGAAGCACTCACCACCAGCCAGCAGATGTGAGGATACATCCTCCTTGTGTGCAACAGTGAAGTCATGATCCTGCTGACCCGACAGCCTCTTTTTTCCAGGCTGCTCCCTTGGCAGTGGTAACCACGGTGGGACCCTCGTACTTCTTCTCACTCCAGAACATTGAAACTCATATCCACACCAAGCTACTCTCATTTTATTCTTCTGTTTATACATTCTCCTGCTCCCAAATTTGGAGGCAAACCATGATGTAAGTTCAACAGTCCCACTCAGAGGTTTTACCAGATTCCATCAGCTCCCCTTTGCTCATTCACCACCCTCACCCACCCCAACTCAGCCAGGTGCTCTGTCCAGTTGATGCTTCTGGGTAAGAATGCAGAAGCAGAGATGGAAGATATCTGGTTATCCAACCTCTTTGTCCTCAATCACAAGAGGACAGAATAGACAGGTAATCGGGCAGGAGGCGCTTCCCAGGGCACCATGACTACCTTCTTGACATGGCCCCTGGTCTGTTCAGATCTGGGTAGTAAGCTGGCCTGAACTTGGGGGTTGTAGTGCCTCCAATTGACTGAGGAGGAAAGGAATGTGAGGGCGTTGCTCGGGGTCCACAGTCATCATTGAGGCCAGTAGCTGCCGCAGTGCTGAAGAATGCCTGCAGAAGGAAGAGGGCAGAGTGACTGGAGGGGAACCAGCCCCGTGCTAGGGCTTCAACTCTGCTAACATCAGGAGTCTGAAATGCCTGGTGCTCCTTCTACTGCTCACCTGGGGCTTTGCGGAATGCTGAGTTGGTTCTGCACAGCAAGGGCCACACTGTCACCCTTCTGGAACACCATGTCATAAGGACCTTCCCCAAACATCATGGCATATAGCACGCAGCCTAGGGACTGAGCATAACTTGGTTACTCCTTGAAAAGGGACCGTTGGAGGTGATATCTCTCTTCTTAATTCTGTAACGAGAAGAGACTATACAAGCTAAAGATAACATGCTGATTGTAGCCACAGAGCACCATCAGGCCTTAAACTGCCAGTTAGCTGGAGGCCTCTGCACCCCTTGCTTAGCCTCTACCTTCGGCTCTGAGGCTTGGCTGTACCCACCCCGTTCAAAGGGCAGGATTATACCACTTCCTGAGCAATTGAGTACAGTGTGGCTGACAGTTCCTAGGAAGGAAGTCTATGGGGGTGGGGACATACATGATTCCTGGGGCCCCATGCAATAGAAACCAAAGACCTGTACTCCACAGCAGAAGCAGCACCACCCTCCCCATTAAGATTTCCTCTACATGCTTCTCACCCAGACATCAGTCCGTTCGTCGATGACACAGTGGCTCTGCACAGAAAAGAGCTCCGGAGCCCGGTAGGAGATGGTGCACCGCTGGGCTGCCCAGTCCTAGAATAGTGGCCCCAGGGCTCAAAAATGGGGCATATGACTCACTTATGACAAAACTGTCATGTAACCAAATTGGGACAGGTACCAGAAAGGGTTGGGAAAGAGAAGCAGGTGGGCAAAGAACCTGGAGACTCTACCTGCAGGGCGAGGGCCTGGCGGGAGCCCTCCACATGGATGCATGCTTGATTCATGGAACCCAAGTCCATTAAAACCGGCTGCCCTTCATCTCCAAGCAAGATATTTGTGGGCTTCAGGTCCCTGCAGGGAAGTGGAAATGATGCATGAGTATTCCTGGTCCAGGAGGCAGGAATCCCACAGGCAAAAGAATCATGGTAACTATTCTTGGGAGGAGAGCAGAGACCTCTCATTTCTCTTGGTAAGGCTATTCCCTTCTGCCCCAGAAAGTGCACAGAGCCTTCCCACTGACCTGTGGGCATAACCCTTGGCATGAATGGCCTCAAGGCCTCTGCAGATACCCAGCAGCAGCTGAAGGATTTGATCTTCAGTCAAGAAATTGCCTTTGTCCTTCAGCCTTTCTATCTCATTCCACAGCGTACCTCTCTGCAACACAAATTTCCCCGCATTGGAGATGTTTTGTGGACTTTTGCAGCCTGAGCCTGATCCCTTCCCAGTGTCATCCCTTTTACCAAACACACTACACATCCCACTTGGGTCTCTAAATCCCAAATGTGAAGTGGCCAAACCCAGGACATCGCCCCTGCTTCCTAACATGCTTGACTACTCGCAGAGCCCTTGGTTTGTAGCTCTGTTGCAACCCCTTCCACAGCCAGGAGACTTTCTGACCTTGAAGAAGGGTAGCAGCAGCCAGGCCTCATGCTTAGTGCCCCGCTCCCTCAGACAATAAGCCACGAGGTGAAGGATGTTGGGGTGATGGAAGAGGCGATGCATGTCTGCTTCTCGTTGGGCCTCCTCCTGGTCCTGCTGCTCATGACATAGGATTCGCTTCAGGGCGTAGAAGTGTCCATCATGTAACCCCTCCACTAGGTCCACATAGCTGAACCCACTGTGGGCCAAAGGGGTCAGTGAAGGACCATGGTCATGTCCCATCAGAGCAATTCCTGCAGGGGTGGGGGGTATCTTTCCTATTTAGTAGAAACCCTCCCAAGATGCAGTTCTAAGAGAAGTCTGAAGATCATTACACTTTGACTCAAGAGCAGGGACACAGTCTATCTTTGAGGTCCTATGGTCAAAATGCAGTGCTTTGCATGAAACAGATTTTTCTCAATAGAAATTAAATACTTCACATTTATCAAAAGCAATGAATCAAGCACCAGCGAGTCATTTTACATGCATTATCTCATTTAATCCTCACAGTTCCATCAGTGATGCATGAAAAATCTCCACTAAGTAGATGAAGAAATCATCACTTATCAAGGTCACACAAGCTGGTTCTGGGAGGCTTGGCTCCAGAATCCACTTTAATTACTAAGTAGCTAGGCTCTGTCAGATAAGTTAGAGGACAGGGATAAAACCGTTGTGCCCCTGTGCCTGTGCGGACCGCTGTCCCTCAATCACCACAGCCCTGGAGACGAAGTGAAATCCAAACACTCACCCCTCCCCCAGCTTCTGTATGAAGAGATAGCGCTTATTGTCCATGATGACAGTTCCCCGAGAGCAGACACACAGTGCGTGGCCCATAGTGGCTCAGTCATCCTCCTCAAGGACGGTCTGGGGCTGTCAAAGGGTTCGTGCAGGATGAGTGCGCCTTCCAGATGTGCTGGGGACCCGGTGGATCATGCTGGAAGGAAAAGAAAGGCACAGTGGCGGGTCTGGCACAATCCAGTGGACCCTCAGGCTCAGGTCTCAGCACCTATGTGCCCACCTAGAGAAAGCCCGCCCTGGGACACCCGCTCCGAGAAGGCTGGGCTCGGGTGTCTTAAGCTCAGCCACGCAGCGACTACTAGGCCGTTTCTTCCAAACCCAGCGCAACTTTGAGCGGCCCCCGCCCACCGCCGCTTGTCGGGCCTCAAACACCTGGCACAAGGCAGTTCCGGGGTGCGATGGGGGCGAGGGGCGAGTCCACCCTTTTTGGAGACCACCCTCGGCCTGAAGAATCATTTCGCCAGCCCGAACTCCACACTGACCTGGCTCAGGCGAAAGGGAAGCGCCCGGGACCGGAAGCACAGACGTCATCAGTTCGCGCCCGCGTAACGGCCGCGGTTTCCTAGCAACCGAGGGGCTTGCGGGCGATGTGGGGGCCCAGAACTGAGAGGCCGGGGGCGGGTTAGGCCTGGGGAGGACGGGTCCCAGCACCCGGGTGAAAGGACCCCATCCGGCCTTCAGCTAGGGTCAAGACGCAGGCATCTACGCCAAAAGGGAGCAAAGCCGGGCCCGGCCCCAGGCCCCCAGGACCTCCATCTCCCAATGCCGGAGGTAGTAGGCCTTGTGGGTGACCCAAAAAGCCCAGTTCCCAGGGGAATGCAGGGAGGAGCGGGTGCTGGTGACCTGGCTGTCTGGAGCCGTGCGCATTACCACCTTTTAGGCATGAACGATGAGGCCTGACTCTAGTTCAAGTCCCAGATCAAGTAAACTAGCTGTGAGATCTTAGGCTACTTAATAGCTCTGTCCCTCCATTTCTTCTAAAATGGGAATGATAATCACCTCACACATTTGTTTGAAGATTAAATGAGATGCAAAGTGTCTAGTACATTATCTGGTGCACAGCTCTCAGTGGCAATAAGCAGAAATAATTATTAGGACCCTGATCCTTACATCCCAGGCTTGGAACTGTCAAGGAAGGTGTAATAGAAATTTACAAAATCCTAAGCCTTCCCTCCAAGCAGTTGTCCTTGACGTCTCTCACCCGGGCAGACAGGCATAGACTGAGAGGGATGCACTCCCCCCAAAAGATGGAATGGCCAAGATGGGCTTTTTTGCTGAGACAGGGCTTTCCAGGAAAAAGATCCCTCTAGTAACCTGCCCACCTCCCCCCACTCTTCACACCCCTGATCCCAGGGAAGAACTTCCTACAGCTTCCTTTGACTCTTAACTTGTTTCAGACCCCTGGGGTTCTAACATTCTTCATCTAGATTTTTTTATATATATATATATTCTTATCTAGATTTAACCTGCATTGTGCTGGGACCCCGTGCTAGAAGCTGAGGATTCAAGATGGACAAGGCAATCCTTACCCCTCCGGAGCTCAGTCTAGCACAGCACTGCTTCTTAATCTTGAATATGCTTCCTTAGGATGGCCTGGGTGTCTTACTAAAATACAAATTCTGGTTCTGTAGATCTGGGGTAAGACCCGAGACTGCATTTCTGACAAGTTTCTGGGTGACACTGATGAAGCTGGTTCACGAACTGCAGTTTGAGTTGCAAGTTGTGGAGGATCCTACACTAGTCGAACAGTGGGAGGTTGCAAGCTGGAGACAAAATCCAGGCTAATCGCCTGGCAACTGGAGGTGGTCTCCGCCCCCCTTGCTCACTGAGGTTGCCTCCTAGGAATCCACCACGTGACACTATCTGACCGCAGCCTCCACTAGAAGAGCGCTGCGAGCGCCATGGCTCCCCAGACGCCGCTCTGCCTCCCTTCCCTGCTGCTGCTGCCCCTCCTGACGCTACTGCTGCCCCAGGTAAAACGGAAAGAATCAAATCATTCGGGGCTGGATGCAGTGTAGCGGGGTCAGGTCTGGCAGAGGAAAGAAAGCGAAAACAATGAAGCACTGGGCAAAGCTACTCCCCGCGCCTCCACTCTTGGTCTACGCTGGGTGTCTCCGGCCCCCACTTCCTGTCTCCCCTCCCTCCCCCACCCCGCCCTGCCCCGCGACTTACCCACGCAGACTGCAATCCTTTGCGGAGCGCTTCTCTCCCTTTGCAGGCAGACGCTCGGTCTTTTGTAGTGGATCGCGATCATGACACATTCCTCCTGGACGGGGTCCCCTTCCGCTACGTGTCTGGCAGCCTGCACTACTTTCGGGTACCGCGGGTGCTTTGGGCGGACCGACTTTACAAGATGCGAATGACTGGCCTCAACGCCATACAGTTGTAAGAAGTGCTCACCCGAGAGTCCCAAAGGGGTGGGATATTCTTCCTGCCACCCCCTTACGGAGGGGATGGGTATGGGAAGACTGGCTTGGCTAGGAGGGTTTATAAGCTTCAGGGTTTCCAAGCAAAGGATGGGAAAGGCGGGCCAGGACCTCCCTCCACCGGTATCCTGGAGTCCCTGAACCCTTTGTGCCTCCCCAGCACTCCCTGCTTGGGCCCTGTTAACCTCTTCCTTTCTCAGTTATGTGCCCTGGAACTACCATGAGCCAGAGCCTGGGGTCTATAACTTTAATGGCAGCCGGGACCTCATTGCATTTCTGACTGAAGCATCTTTAGCGAACATGTTGGTCATCCTGAGGCCAGGACCTTACATCTGTGCAGAGTGGGAGATGGTGAGTTAGGTGGAGAAGGAATAGAACCAAGACTGCCATATGTGGTTCCTGGACTAGTCCCATCTTCCCACACTCTGGGGCTACCTCCAGCACTGTACTCCACCTCCCTCCTCCTTACCTCCTGTCCTCCACTCCTCGCCAACAAAATCTCCCCACTTCTTTGTTGTCTTTATCTTTGTCTTAGGGGGGTCTCCCATCCTGGTTGCTTCGAAAACCAAAAATTCACCTGAGGACCTCAGATCCAGGTGAGTTGAGACAAAAGATTTAACATACACACACACACACACACACACACACATCCCCCAATTAGAAGTCATTCATTCAAATGTTTATTGTTTTCATCCTGCCCAGAAGGATGCTAGAAACTAAGAGACCAGACAGACCCCAGTTTCTAGGCAGTAGAACTTAGAGTGGAAGAAACAGAATTTTTTATTTTTTATTTTTTTTTTGTGGGACCCTCGCTTGGTGGCCGGGGATCAAGCCAGTGCTGCAGAGGCTGCGGGCAGCCTCGCAACCCAGCGCTCAACCGCTGCGCCACCAGGGGAGGCCCAAGAAACAGAATTTTTTTAACCTATAAAATAATTGTGGGCTGTAAAAATACCACCCCCAAGAAATAGGCAGGAGTTAAAATAATGAATAGCAGACGGAATCTTTCAGTTAGGGGGAGAAATGTATGAGAAGATGACATTTCAACTGATGGTAGGGAAGGGAAAACACCAATCATGTGAGGAGAGGCGAGAAGGACCAGGGAGAGGAACAGCATATTCTTTTTTTTTTTTTTTTTCTCTTTAGAAATCAGAGAAATCTTCTTACTTTATTTATTTTGATTTTTGCAGGTATTTTGTTTTGTTTTGTTTTTTTAATGATATGCATTGTTGTTTGTGTTTTGGAAGTATAGGTTTATTCTAAGGCCGAGGCAGGAAAGAACATGGCATGGTTGGGACCAGCCTGGCTGGAGGAGTAAGAGAGACAGTAATATGAAATTGGAGAGAGAGAGGAACCCTTGGTGTAGGACCTTGTAGTCCATTGTTAGGGAGCTGCATTTTATTCTAAGTACAGTGGAAAGTTATTGAGTTTAATCAGCGATGTGACACACTCTGATTTGTCTCCACATTACCTTAGTGTGGTTGTGGAGAGTGCTGAGGGAAAAAGGTGGGAGGTGGAGAAACTGATTAGAACTGCAGTTGGGGAGAAGATAGCTCTCGGGCTAAGGTGATGGTGGAAATGAAAATAATAGGGCAGGATTGAGATCTAGGTTGGAGAGAAAAGTCACCAGGACTGGTTGAAAGACTTTGCTTGGTAGAGCAGGGGGAGGGCAGTAGGGGTAGGATGCTCTCTGGAAAGGAAGGAATTGAGTTTCTGGCAAGTAAAGATGGTGGTGCTGTTTACTGACACAGCAAAGATAAAGACCAGGGTGACCAACGTGTCAACTTTTGAGGGAAATTTTTATTGTATCACACTCCAATAGCTATTAAGTAAGCAGCAGGAAGATCTGTGAGTGGAGAGCTTCGGGGGAGGTCTAAGCTAGAGGTATAAATGTGGGAATCTCTAGTCTAGAGATGGCAATTGAATCCATGGGTACTGAGACATCACCTGGGAGAAGAGTATAAAGAGAGAAAAGATGAGAATTCCTAATTAAGCTCAGAGATGTCCAGTATTTCAAGGAGTTGGATTCCATTTCAGGTGCAAATAGGAGGTCATTAGAGTAAGGGAATGATTCTACCTGATTTATACCTTTAAAATAGATGACTGACAAAATGCCTTTTATCTGCACTTCTTAGGGTGCTGGAGAGATTTATGATGTTATAGTATTTTCCAAACTCAGTTGACTATGGAATACATTTAAACCAATAAAGCACTGACAGAATTGCAATGCAATTCTCTGATTTTCCCAAGAAAACTAGTGACCTCTTCATTGCTAACTCCATGATGAGTTCTCCGGCCTCTTTTTCCTCTAACCCATCAGAACATTCAGCAGAGTGGGGCACTTTGTTCTTTGAAACACCCTTTAGTCTGCTTCCATGACACCACGCTTACCTGGTCCTTGCCCTTCCCACAATTTTCTGACCGCTCCTCACCAGTTCTTCTCCATTTCTCTTTCCACTGAATGCTACAATGTCTCAGGGTTTAATTCGTGGGTGCTTCTCTATTCTGCCCACACTCACTCCCTAGAGGACCTCTTCCATTCATGGAGCTTTAAAGTCTATCTAGTAGCTAGTGACTGAGATATTTATCACCAGTCAGGACCTTCCTTCCCCTGACTCCCAAATGCATATATCCAACTCCTTACTTGAGTTCTGCATTTGTTTTTTTTTTTTTTTTTAAGATTTATTTATTTATGCATACAAGAGCTGGGGTATAGGCCAGTGATGTGGGGGGCGAGAGGATCCACCAGAGACAGAGTAGGATCCACCAGAGACAGAGTGGGGAACAGAACAGGCAGACTGACCAAAATACACTGCTGAGGGGAGCAGCGGGCGAGACAGGAGAGGTCTGCTGCGCCATGTGGGTTGCTCCCTGGCCAGCTGGGGATCGAACTAGGCTGCAGATTGCTTCATAGTGCGGTGCTTAACCCCTTGCACCACCAGAGAGGCCCTGCATTTGGAGATCTAAAAGGCATAATGATAAAACTAAGTTCCCAGTATTGCCTCCTAAACCAGCTATTCTTACAGTCTCCCCATCTTACTTAATGACAACTCCATTTTCCAGTCAGGTGAAACACTATGGTATAATTCTTCATGCCCATCTTTCCTTCATACCCACATTCACCCAATCAGAAAATCCTATCCACTTTACCCTGTGTTGAATTCAACTACATTTTTTTCATTTCCCATTCTGCCACCACTCTGCTCCAAACCACCTCTCACCGGAATTATTTTAAGTTTCCTGATTTCCCTTATTTTGCCCCTCCCCCATATAGTCTATTCTCAATACAACAGCCAGTGTGATCCTGTTAAAATGTTTAAGTATATAGGAAACATGTAAGTGTGCATCAGATCATGTCATTTCTCTACCTCAACATCTGCAGTAGGTGCTCTTCTCACCAGAATATGATCCATGGAGTCTTGAAAAGGGTCTGCTTAATCCTACCTAATTGGTGCAGTCACCCTCCTGACATCTAGTCCTCTCACTGTTTGCACTGGCCTCACTGCTCTTCACACCCATCCGGCGTGTTCCTGTGTGAGGCTTGCATCTGCTGCGCCGTCTTCCTGCAGAATCACCTTAGTGATGCTTGTTGGATTCATTTAGTCCATATTTGAGGATCTGCTGTTGGGCATTTCATCAACAACAGGAATGTAGCAAATGAGCCTGGCAGAAAAGGATCCTGCTCCCAAGTAGGGTAGACCAAGAGAGAATAATGAGATCATTCTCAAATAAGAATTTGGGGCATAATACCTAATCTAAGACAGTGACCATTTAATTGATGACTAAAATCACCTGAACTATCCATTCCTTCAGGATGCAGGTCAGACATTCTACATTTCTGTGAATTCCCATGCTACTACATAGTGTCCTCGGGTGTACATCAGTGACATGTTAGCTTCATATGATGTATATTTGACATTTAAAAAACATTTACAAGGAACACTGCTTTAAGGTTGCCTATGTTCAAATGTCATTGCCATGTAAACATGCAGGAGATTAGGACTGCGAGTTTCTCTGACAAGAGTCACTGCTGCCCAGATTCACTTGTGGGCAAGTGGGATACAAACTATAGCCTGGAGTTGAGGTAGCACTGAAGCTGCTGCATTGATGCGGGGCATGGGGTACAGAGGTGGGGGTGCCCCAATGAGCAGAGCACTGCTCCTTCCTTTAGACTTCCTTGCTGCGGTGGATTCCTGGTTCGAGGTCTTGCTGCCCAAGATATACCCATGGCTCTACCACAATGGGGGCAACATCATTAGCATTCAGGTACAAGTGGGAAGTTGACTGGGCAAGGGGAAGGCATGCCAGGAGTCCTTAACCTTCTGCATGTTGTAGCTGAGCTCTTTTCCTTTCCCCTGGCAGGTGGAGAATGAATATGGTAGCTACAGAGCCTGTGACTTCAGCTACATGAGGCACCTGGCTGGGCTCTTTCGTGCACTACTAGGAGACGAGATCTTGCTCTTCACCACAGATGGGCCTGAAGGACTCAAATGTGGCACCCTCGAGGGACTCTACGCCACTGTAGATTTTGGCCCAGGTCTCCTGAGCAAGGGTTAGGAGTGGAGTCTGGGGAAGAGGCACCTTTTCTAGGATGTTTATCTTTCACCTCTGCCTCCTTTCTGTAGCTGATAACATGACCAAAACCTTTGCCCTGCTTCGCAAGTATGAACCTCGTGGACCATTGGTGAGGAGCCAATAGGAGTGAAAGCAAAAATCAGGGATGGAAATGGGTAGAGTTTGTCCCCATCCCCCCTTATGGCTCCTTTTGCTTTCCCTCCAGGTGAACTCTGAGTACTACACAGGCTGGCTGGATTACTGGGGCCAGAATCACTCCACGCGGTCCATCCCAGCTGTAACCAAAGGACTAGCAAAAATGCTGCAGTTGGGAGCCAATGTGAACATGTAATTGGAGATACGGGGGGAGCAACATCGATCTGTAATTGAGTGTTGGGGATGAAAGTTAAGATCCAATGAGCTAGCTTTTTACCTTTCCTCCCACCCCTCCCCCACTTCAGGTACATGTTCCACGGAGGTACCAACTTTGGATACTGGAATGGTGAGTCCAGATGGCCCCAAAGTGGAAGCAGTGAGGAGTACAAGGAGTACAATTAGAATCTGAGCACTGGGTGGATTAGGATGTCTAGAAGCTGGTGATGGCCACCTCTACACCCTCTGATGGCAAAAGCCTTTCCTGAAGATCTTTCTTTGCTTAGTGCCCATCATCAGAAAGATGTTAAATTAATTACATTGTTTTGATTCCAGGTGCTGATGAGAAGGGACGCTTCCTCCCAATTACTACCAGCTATGACTACGACGCACCCATATCTGAAGCAGGGGACCCCACACCTAAGCTTTTTGCTCTTCGAAATGTTATCAGCAAGGTGCCCTACCACTTCATTAAGTTCCAAAGGTTTTTGTTAATCTGGGGGGAGTGCCTAAATTGTAAAGGGACCTCGTAAGTCAGTGGTGTTTGTCTGGGCCAGAGTCCTCTAAGCATCCCAAGGAAACATCGCCTGCCCACCCAAATGGGACTTCCTGGGGTGATACACACAGGTGTGTGCAAAATTTCTTCATCCCTGAAGCCCTTCCCTGGACCCCAAGTTGGGAATCCTGTTTTAGGCTCTTGGAATAGGGGTTGTTTGTATGGTTTTCCTATGGCTCCTGAGAGAATTTGGGCTCAGTTCCAGGAAGTTCCCTTGGGACCTTTGCCTCCCCCCAGCCCTAAGATGATGCTTGGACCTTTGATCCTGCACCTGGTAAGCTCCCCCCCATTTTTTCTGATTTTACCCCTTTATTCTCTAAATTACCTATCCAATCCTGCCTGCTATTCTGAAATTTCCCTCCTGTTCTGATACCTCCTCTTTATTCTAATAGAATGGGGATTTGCTGGCTTTCCTAGACCTCCTGTGCCCCCAAAGGCCCATCCGTTCAATCTTGCCAATGACCTTTGAGGCTGTCAAACAGGTACAGCATAAAGCCACATCCAGTAGGTAATGGCAACCTTCAACACCAATAGCCCAAAGTTCCCTCCAGCTATACATCTTCCCCACAGAGTCTGCTCTTTTCTCTCAGTTCATTTAAGTGCTCATTCTCCCCCACTAGGACCGTGGCTTTATGTTGTACCGGACCTCTCTGCCCTATACTGTTGCTGAGCCAACACAATTCTGGGTACCAAACAATGGAGTCCACGATCGTGCCTACGTGATGGTAGATGGGGTGAGAACCTCCCCAGGTTACCTGTGCCATTTCCCCTCCTCCTGAGCATCCTTACCCTCTGGGAGCCCAGGGATAAGCAGGGGTGAAGAGTCTGACTAAGGACAGTTGCAGGATGGGTGGGTAACTGGCAAATGGGCTACTTTTCTTTGCCCACCAAGTAAATGTCCTAATGGTTTCCTGTTCATGTGTGGCCACGAGCTAGATGCGGAGCCCTTCCTCTTAGAGATCCCGTCTCTTGTCCACAGGTGTTTCACGGTGTTTTGGAACGAAACACAAAACACAAACTGTTTTTGGTTGGGCAAAAGGGGGCCAAACTGGATGTCTTGCTGGAGAACATGGGGAGGCTCAGTTTTGGATCTAACAGCAGTGACTTCAAGGTGAGCTAGCTCTGCCCATCGCCTGGCCCCACACCATTATTGACCAAACTCCCTTGGAAATTGGGGCCTAATGGAAGGTAACAGGAGCCATGTCCTTAGAATCCCCAGAGGAGAAGTGGTTTGTGGGGTACTGGACACAGCCACTAGTTGCATCCCAGGGCTACATTAGGGACAGTTTGTACCTAAGAGTTTAGTGAATGATGAGTTCCCATTTGCCTTCTTTACAGGGCCTCTTAGAGCCTCCAATTCTGGGGCAAAGAATCCTTACCCAGTGGCTGATGTACCCTCTGAAAGTTGATAAGCTCGCAAAGTGGTGGTTTCCCCTCCAGTTGCTGAAAACACCAATTCCGCCAACTCCCTCTGGCCCTACCTTCTACTCCACAACATTTCCAATTTTAGGCTCAGGAGGGGACACATTTCTCTTTTTACCTGGATGGACCAAGGTATTGCTGCTGGTGATGGTCAGGGTGGGACGGTGGGTGCAGAAATGATTTATCTGATCAGAAACCAAAAAGGGACTGACTATACCCCTTGAGAGCTGACCCTTGCTTTTCCTTTCTCCTCCTGCCTCCCCAGGGCCAAGTCTGGATCAATGGGTTTAATCTGGGCCGCTACTGGACAAAGTGGGGGCCACAACAGACCCTCTATGTGCCAAGACCCCTGTTGTTTGTTCAGGGAGCCCTCAACAAAATTATATTGCTGGAGTTAGAAAATGCACCTCCCAACCCTCAAATCCAGTTCTTGGATAGGCCTATCCTCAATAGCACCTTGCACAGGACATATGTTTATTCCCTCTCAGATGATACACAAAATACCCCTGAATCAATGGAGTTAAGTGGGCACTGAATGAAATTTCGGTAACCCTTGGTCCTGGGACATGGAGTCGGCAGGACCCCTGGTGCTGGGCCACAGTGACCACAAGGAACCCAAGGCCAAAAGTCCTGACTGTAAGTACAAGCGCAGCTGCCTTGCAAAACTTTATTGTGATTAAAGTTCCAGAGACAGTACCAGCTCCACATACTTCTGTGGCCCCGACTTTGCCCTGGCTCCCAGGTGTTCTTCACCCTCCACACACTCTCTGGCCTTGTGGGGAAGAAGAAAGCTAGGGCCAGTGTGAATGTGCCCTCAGAACCTAGAGCTGGCCCCAGGTAGTTCTGTAAGATCAGGAAGAGGGCTTTCCAGCTCGACAGCGATGCTCCTGGAGACAGCGTGTGGAGCAGAACAAGAAGTCAAGGTAGTGAAAGGGAACGAGGCCTTGGAGGGATGTCCCACAGCTCCAGCAGCGTCTGAACAAGATGAAGAAAAATGGCTAGACAGGTAGCCCAGAAACTTTCCAATCCCAGCTTTCCCAATCCCTCCTCCTGCCATTTCAGTTTTTACCCCCAAATTTCCCAGAACATCTCAAATATCTTAAACAACCTTTGTGAATATTATGCAGGCACATATTCTACTTGTACAAACATTAAGATCCACCCAGCACGCACGCACGCACGCACGCATGCACACACACATACCGCACATTGCTGATCATCGCAGGGTCGGGGATCCCTGGGGGAGGGGCTCCCAACTGGGCAGCCAGTCGGCGCTCTGCAGCTAGAGCTCTCTGCCAGGAGGAAAAGTTGTATGAAGGACAAGCCCCCAGTGGCAGTGAGGGTACCCAACAAGTAACAATGGCAGGAGACCTCTAAGGAGATCTTACAGCGCAAGAGAAAACTCCAGCCTTACCTTCTCGCGGTCACTGAGGGCAGAAAATCGCTGCTGCTCCTCTTGTTCTCGCTTCTCCTGCTCCTGCTGCTTTTGCTGCTGTTCCTCTCGTTGCCGCCGGGCAGCCTTCTGCTCCCGTTTCCGCGAGGCCTGCCGTGCCTCCATTTCTGGTGTGAGTGGCCCTGGCACCTGGAGGATTCCCGGGAAGAGACAAGATGTAAGATGGACACAAACTGCTTGGTAAAACGGTAACAAAGTAGGAGAGGTCTGGCCAGGCTCTAGGATGCCTTCCCATGCTGCCTCCTCTTCCAGCTGACCTGAGCCTTGTTGTAGTCCCAGGCATCCGGGCTCTTCTCCATGAACCTGCGGAACTCATTACGTGTAGGTCTGTCAGCTGCGACCACATAGGGTGGCCGGGCTCGGGAGTCCCTAGTGTGAAAAAAACAGAAAAGGTTCAACTTGCCACCAGCATTTCCCAGCATCACCCACACAGACCAAGGGGAATACTGTCAAGTAGTCAATGTCAACGTTAGCCTCCGGATCATTGCTCAACCCCAAAGGGCTTGACATGGGGATCCTTACTTACTGCACAGTGGGATCAGCACCTGCCTCCAGCAGCAGACGAACCACAGCACCTCTCCCAGCTGCAGCTGCTGCATGCAGGAGTGTGAAACCGCTGGAGCCCAAGGGGGCATTGAGCAGAGACTGGACTCCGGCATCTGTGGGGCTGGCAGCTAGCTGGAGCTTCAGCATCCCAACATCTCCAGCTCGGCAAGCAGCTAGAAGCATGTCCCAGAGCTCTGGTTGACGAGAGGCCCCAGCCTCATCCAAAGAGCCCAGAGAAGCTGCTTGTGCCTCAGCTGACTGTGAGAAGGCCTCATCGTCTTGAGATTTCTGGGGAGGAGTCACAAGTGCCCCAGCCTCCAGGTCTTGGCTTCTCTCCCTTTTATTTCTTTTTCTCCTCTTCCGCTTGGGCAACACTTCAAACTCACGAAGATCCAGGGTCCCCAGCGTCAACTCCACTAGTTCCAGTTCTACCTGGGAGTCATCCTCTCTCTCTGACCCTGAACCTAGGGGAAAAGTGGGCATATTAGACCCATCTAAAGAATAAGCAGAGGGTAGAAAGATGTGGGCTGCCCAAGTGCTTATGAGTGTATATAAAGATAGTCCAGATGATCTTAAAGTGTTTGTGTTTGTTACTCAAAATAATATATGAAGAGTGTCACATGCAAAAATGAGACTTTCAGCCCAAAGACAGACCCACCCAGAGGCAAATGTCCAGCACCTATGCAGACTTAGGGTGATGTCCAACAGAGGGAAGCATGGAGGCAGTGACAGCCAGGCAGGCCAAACATCTGCAGCCATGAAAGCAGCCCTTAGCCCAAAACCAGAGCATCCAATAAGACACGTGAACTGTGAGATTCATGCAACTCACATCCAAGCATCCACTTCGTGCAAAGACTTTTCAAGGACTGGAGATAACATTAATGAACAAAAGAGATTACAGATTTAGACAGGTCAGTAAACATGTCTCGGTGACTGCTATCATACACCCCTATCATAAACAGATGTGTGTGTGTGAAGGTGTGTGTGTTGCACAGGGAGGTGGGTCCATTACACACAAGTAGGGAATGTGCCACTGCATTCCCAGGCCAGACACGCAGGTAAAGATTTGACAAGATAGTGCTCAAACCCTGTTTAGGAGCTTCCTCATTCTGCTCCGGCACCTCATTTTCGCCACTGGGGACCTTTCTTTCTTCCTTGATGGCCTTCTTCCTCTCTCTCATTGTCTTCCAGTGGATCTTAGGTTCGTCTAACCTGACTGTCTCTCGGGGATCTTCTCCTGCATGAAACAAAAGATACTTCTCAACTTCAGCTGAAGAGAATCCACCCCAGGTTTCTCTCAGTAAAAATGCAATTGGGCTGCAGTCTGAGGGTTAGAAAATCCTCTGGATGCACAAATGGTAACCAGGCTTGGGCTGGATGGTGCAGGAAGGTCTAGGGAATTGGGATCTGGATCAGAGGCTCACCATGGACATGCAAGGTGGTCAGCTTATGGAGCACTCGCTGTAATTCTCGGAAGGTAGGTCTGCGGGTAGTGAGGGGGATATCCCAAAGTCGGGGATCCCCTCGTTGCAGGGGTGCCCCAGGGCCTCCGAAGAACAAGGACCGACCAGAGTGGGGTGAACGAAGCAGTATTGTCCCAGCCTCCCCCAGCGCCTTTGCCCAGTCTGGCCCTGCCAGCAGGTCACGAACATCCTAGAGAAGAGAGTAACTCAGCCCTAATATCTTCTCTTGCTAGTGTTAAATGTCCAACCAGGAAATGGCCCACAGATCATGTGTAGGGGGCGGGAGGTAGAAATAACAGAGGAAGGCAGAATGGGTGGACTAAGACTCCTGGGGATCCATCCCTATTCTACCCTTGTCAACCCGTAAATAATGAAAACTGGGCAAATATAAAAGTCAGACCATTGGAACATTAATGAATAGAGAAGGGAAAAAAGTATGGATTAAAGACCACCAACATCTGGGAGGACTAACTCACCTTAAACAGTGTGGCTTCATTGTAGCGTCTCAGGTTGGCTCCAGCAGAGCGAGAAGTCCCACCCCGGGCATCCCGAAGCCCCTGGGCAGTGCCCCGCTTGGCCCGCACCGTGTACCGGTGAAAAGTTTTGTGTGTCACCACTTCTCCTCTGTTGATAGCACAGACTCAGTACAGAAAGCCAACTGCTACTCCCAGGCTAATAGGATCCACTCCACCCGCATCCCACGCACCACCCTCTCACCCTTGGAAAATGGCACCAGCAAAGTGCCCAGCTGCAGCCATGAGCACCACGCAGCACCTGGGACCTCCACTTTGTAGGTTCTGAAGCAGCACTTCTGGTTCTTCTGGAGGCACCTGGATGACAGAGGTGCAGCACCAACATTGTTCTGTTACGTTCCTTGAGAAGAAACCAAGGGCCAGCACCTGGGGTTTCATGCACGTTATATATGCAACCACTCTGGGGTTTGTGTCCATTTTACAAATAACAAAGTTTGAACCTTGTAGAGGTAGAGCAGATCAAAAAGTAGAACCACAATTCAAACCCAGATTGGTTCTTTCCAAACTTATTTCCATCACACCTGACCCCTCCAAGTTTAAAGGCCAATTCTAGATTGTACCATCAAGGATGATATCCACATCCCACGAGGAGCAGGGGAAGAAGTGAGAAATGGATTGGGCTAAGGAGAAATCTAGGCTGAGTGTATAAATAGCTGGAGTTGACCACATAAACTATACTGTCACTTGCCTCACGAGGGCCTAGGACACAGCGATAGACGTAAAGAAACTGGCCCTGGGCATTTTGGAAAAGAACCCGATGCGGGTGGAAGCCTTGGGGTCGGTTAAACTTCTCAAACTCAGGCCTCTCCTCATCTAGCATCTGTAAGTCTTCCTCACTGGCTGAGTCTGAGTCTTCTGATCCTGAGATGCTGGAAAGATCTCCTGAGGACAATATGAAATACACAAGTTTGATGCCCCATTTTTTTGCTTTCCTCAAGTTGATAAATGAGAGTGTTCCTCCACCCCCATGTACTATTCCCACACAGGTATGTCCCAGGGGCATCACCTGTAGAGCTCTGCTTCTCGAAGTCTAGGGCAGACAGAAGAGGTTTGTCCTTGAGACGCTGCTTTAGGTTAAATCGATGCCAGTCGAGCTTGTAATGTTCCCTCTGGTAGAAAGCAAAGAGGGAGGAAAGAGGGAGGCAGAATGTGGAAATATGCCCCAGCCTGGTCTTTTATGGCAGCCACACCCAGCAATAGAATTATGGGAAGTAGGATAAGGTAACATCAACTGCCTTAGTCAAAGCATGGCTCTTTATTAATAAATACAAATCAAATGTCTACTTCTCACTACTATTTAAGAGTTTCCACTGTTTAGCTCTGTACCGAGTCCTTTACCTGTTCTTGGTGATTCTGGAAGGCCTGGTCACAGGTTGAGCAAAATAACTTCTCTGAAATATTCAGAGGTTTTCTTTTTGGGCTTGCTCTCTCTTCTGAATCTAAATAAGGAAAGGGGAATTAGAGGAAGAAAGAGAATCCAAGTCCACAGTGTCTTTACTCCCATTCAGTGTCCAATATAACAAGCAGAGAACACAAAAGGAAGCGTTGGCATGTCCTTGCCTTCAAGGAATTTACCATCTACTAGTCATGAAATAAATAGCACAGCAATCACTTAAAACAATAACTATGCTTCTGAAAAGATGTAGATAAAGGAATATAAATCAAACACTGTATTGAAATTAACCAAGGGAGCTGTTTAGAGGAATTCTGTAGAAAATAATTTTTGGTAAGGTTAAAAATATTTTTAACTAAAAAAAAAACAACTTCCAAATGCCATTTATTTTTAGTTTACACTTCCAACTACAGCATGTAGTTTATTTAAAAGGAAGTACAAGGCAGAGACTTAGTCCTTGGCCTTGCAGATTTGTTCTCTTCTCCTTCCCTGCCCAAGGCCTCTCCTGCGACCATGCTCAGCCAGGTGCTCGGTCAGGCCAAGAAGCAGCCTAGCTTGATCCTCCTTTGCATTTATTGCAGCTGAAGATGCCAGGGCAGCACTGTTTGTCATGTACGTACCATTGTTCTAGCTCTTTGTCAGTTGGGAGAAAGAATAACCCAGAACCTGAAACAAACTGGTCCCTAATGGTCAATACAAGTTTTACTCAGTGAGTATAGAAGGTCCAGACTTCCAAATGAAAATATTTCACTATAAAGCTGCTCAAAATGAAGATCCTCCAGAAGCCACTGGCACACTACTTCTCTACTTAACCAGGCTATATAGTCCCTCTAAGTGCACAAAATCATGTTAGTGTATTGTGTTGGGGCTTACACCGATTAATAAATATCTGAATTGTAGAAAAATAAATAAAAAAGGTATAAGAAGAAACATAGCCAGAAACTGAAGTTGAATAAAGCCAGTAATAAATTATTATAGAGCCTGAGAGAAGGAATGATATGATGGGGGCCCAGTTATATTCTGACTTAATCTAGGATTTGTGAAAATGACCTAGGAATTTTGAAAGGTTTTTGCTGAAGGTGGTTTTAACGTGACAGGACATAGCATGGCAATGAACTTCTTTGGAGACAATGGAGAGGCTGTGCTGGAAACAAACGAGACCAAGCCATTTAATGAAGACAAATTTAATCCAGTAGAAAGAGATGCGGAATGTGTTCCTGTAGGAATGTGCTCCCTGGAGGAGCAATCAGCTCCACAGAGCCTTGCACGTTTCTCATGGATCCACCCCAAACCTTCCCCATACCTGGACAGGAAGATCTTAGAGCCTGGGCCTGAGACTCCCCGGCAGCGTGGCTCACCAGCCTCAGGCCCTGAAGCACCGGAGCATCAGTGCTGAGGTCAAACAAGGAGAACGATGCTGGAGCCTGGGCAACAGCTGGAGCCGGCGACATGGCTGAGCAAAATGATTTAGAAGCAGCTCCTGGAGCACAAGGGGGGAGAGAAACAAAGCCCGATCCTACCGCCCCGCCTCCTGCGACCTGACTTGGTCTCCCCCAGTTGCAAGACTCCTCGGTACCAGGAGTCAGCTGGGCTTAACCAGAGCCCCGGGCTCAGACTACACGCGAGGGAACCGGGGCGGCATCGAGCTCCACGTCGAACCCGACTGAGCGAAACCAGAGAGTAGCTGACCGGCCGGGTCCCCCGTGCGATGGGCGCCGGCAGCGGCCGGGCCACGCGGCCTCGCCCCCGCCGGCAGAGGCGGCACCCAGAGCCCCGGGGAGCCGCGCGGCGCCGCGTCCACTGTGCGAGGCCCGGATTCCCGCAGCCCCACAACAATCTCGTCACTACGGCGCCGCGTAGAGGACAAATGGCGGCGCCCGAACCCGCGCCCCGGGCCGCGTACAGCACGCCATTGGCTCCGGACCGCCCAAGACCCGCCTCCGCGCCCCGTCCCGCCCCCGGAGCCGAGAATTGGCCTTCCTGTCTCCACCCCCCGCAGCTCATTGGCCAGGCGGGCCGCGGGTGACAGTGAGTGGCAGGCGCCAGGCCTAGCGCCCCGGGTCGGGCTGAGCCCAGCCGAGCCGACACAGCCCCTGGAATCACCCGGGTCACCGTTCCTGAGGTGAAACGCGAGACCGGTTACTGGAACCCCAAGGGCTCGGGTCGGGCCGGACCAGGAGTGCCCGCGGAGCCCCAAGTGAGCTCGCGGCGGGTAACGGGGAAGGGGCGCCGCGGGCTGGGCGGGGGCGCGCAGCCGGAATGTTTTGATAGCGGGGGCGCGCGGGCGGGGGCGCGCGGGAGTCGCGGGGGCGCGCGCTAGGGTGTCCGCTGTTGGGAGCCGAGCCCTAGGCCCGGCGCCGGGCGACCCTGGGGCGCGCTGGACTCGAGAGGTGGCGGCTGGGCATGGGGAGGCAACCCAGTCCAACTGGGGTATCAGTTGTAGGTCTGGCTCCATCTCTCCAACGTCTGCAGGAACCCCTGAGCCTAGGCCCAGGCGGCCAGGGCTCCATGGGCCCTAAGTCCACGCTGAGCGGGTGAGTGGTGAGTTTCCTGAAGGCTTGGTCAGCTCCTTTGGACCCAGGCCTCTCACCAATTCAGGGACTCTCACGGGGACCAGGCGTGGCCAGTATCCATGACCCCAGGGTCTGCACTGACTTGGCATGTGCCACCCAGTCCATGCTTGTCTCCCACTAGGGAACCCAGGGTTTATCCAAGATCTGGGATCTACACTGACCCAGTCAGGACTGTGCCTACCTGCTGCTTCTTTGGTGCTAGGAAAGCAAGGGAAGGAATTGGCCAGAAAGCTCTTTTTCAGGATTTTGGGTCTGGGGCTTTGTGGACCCTAGAGGCCTATATAATTTCTGAGGCTAAGGTGGGCAAAGGAGGAACAATCCAGAAGGGGCCACCAGACTTCAGGCCCACACTGACTCCCTTGCCACAAGTTCAGTAAGCTACTTCTTAGAATCCTAGAGCTGGCTGTGTGGTCCTGCAGGGCACAACCAGAGGAAGTGTACACAGCCCAAGGCTGGAGGGGTGGCTCTTCCCCAGGCAGCCTCTCTGCCCCAGGCTTGTTCTCCTCTCAGTGGACAATGGGAGAGAGGGTGGGCTGGGTTTCTTTCTATCCCCGCTTCCCCCCTCTGGGGCCTGACACCTTCTCCTCCAGCAGCTGCCGAGCCAGGGCATCGAGGGCTGGAGTGGAGCAGACACTGTCCATGGAGCTGGTAGGGCCATGCGCTTAACTCACATCTTTGCTTTCAAAGTGCTTCCAACCTACTCATCTCTCGGGAGACCAGGTTTCTCCAGGAGGGTAGGGGGAGGGACCCTTCTCTCCACAGACCAGAAGATGAAACAGTCCCCCCTCCAACAGGCCAGAATCTGGCTTCAGGCCAGCCAAGTCTCAGTAGACATTTAGTAAAGGCCCTGGGAGTGACTGATCTCATTGGTCAATAAAGGCCTTTCCAAGCCCTGGAAAGGTTACTGCTCCTCTTCTGCCTTTGAGCCAAGAAGACCAGTAACAGAGACCAAGTCCAAGGATTCTTTCTCATTCCTTCTGGCCTAGTAGGCAGGGCAGCAGATGAGCAGTACCTGCTCTGAAACTGGGTCTCTTCTTCCTTGTACCTGGCAGGTGGACAAGGTGGGCAGGGGGTGGTGGTAATGGCGCAGTTTGACACTGAATACCAGCGCCTAGAGGCCTCCTACAGCGATTCACCCCCCGGGGAGGAAGACCTGTTGGTGCACGTCCCTGAGGGGAGCAAGTGTGAGTTCTTGGACATGACAACCGGATTTGACTGGGGGCAGGCTCTGAGAATGGAGGGTTGGGGCAGAGCTGGGACAGGGAAGAAAGTTGATGAAGGGATTCTGAGGGGGCATGGGGCTTACATCCTTCAGTGACATCTCTGCTTCTCTGCCTACAGCACCTTGGCACCACATTGAAAACCTTGACCTCTTCTTCTCTCGAATATCCTTTATCTCTGTGTTGGAGCTCTGGGACCTTTAGCCCCTCTGTAAACTGGGTCCCCGATGGGAAATGGGTGGGTTTGACTCTAATATCTGGCAGGGGGATGGAGTTCATCTTGAGGCTGGAAGAAGCTGGGGAAATAATGATCATTTTATATATATATATATAAATTTTTATATATATATATATATATATATATATATATAATGGTACCCACATTCACCAAGAGCTATGTGCCTTGAACTTTGTGGTGTGAATTTATAAGGGACCTCTTTAAGGGTGATCCTCCTTTTTGATGGGATGCTAACAACCTAATAATTACTGTCTTTTAACTCATTCTGTGTCAGCTCTGTGTTAAATGCTTTACATGCATTATCTCAGACCTAAGAAGCCTATGAGACAGGTGCTATTATTTCCAATATGTCACTGCAGGCAAAAGCTTAGAGACAGTGATTTGCCCCAAGTCACCCAACCAGAAGGTTGTGACAAGTATGACACAAAACACCATGCTCTTAGTTGCAGCCTCCACTGACCACTTTTTCTTAACAATTACACGTTTATAATCTACATCAGAAGAATGGCTTCACTTGTATGCTCATTGGGGAAATCTTTGAGCTCATGTAAGTATAAGAAGGGATGAATGGCATGGTACAGGCGCACCTCAATCTTGACTTTCCTTGCTCTCACCCCTGGCCTGCCAGTGCTCCTCAGTGTTCTAGGCTCAAAACTTATATGTGGCACGAGAATTGACAGCCTCACCTCTGTTCCACAAAGACAACTCAGACAGGATCATTTCATTAGATCTCTGTGGGAATGGACTGGCTCAGTCAGAAAATCTCAGGCCCACTCACTCCATTCTGCCTTGTTGGTAGAGGCCTGCTTGCTAGGCAGAGAAGCTTCTAGGAGGAAGCAGCCATATAACCTTGCCAAAGAGGAAGAGATTGGGAAATATTCCCCTAATGAGAGTTCAAATCCCCAAGTGGCTTCTAACTACCATCTCAGAAGAAAATCAGGAACTGGGGACTGGAGACCAAAATCATAAGACCCCTGGAAGAATCAGATAAATAGTGGCAGAGCTTACCCTAAGGTGAAGAAAGCTGGCCATTCTGTGGCACCTGAGATGCAGAGCAACAAATAGGACCTGGTTTGGGCCTGAGAAGGTCTCCTGAGGCCGAGCAGTGGAGAAGAACCACTGGGAGTTCTCCAGGTCCTCCGCTTCCCCAGAGGCTGTCCCCGGTCTTGCTCTGCTGCTTCCATACTCCTCTTTTTCCACATGATTTCACTGGTCCTCTCTGACTCTTCAGCTCCTCCCCCTCTTCCCAACTCCTCAGGCAGTTCCTCTTTGTGGTCGCCTTCACCACCTTCCTGGTTAGCTGTGTGGACTACGACATCCTATTTGCCAACAAGATGGTGAACCACAGCCTTCACCCTACCGAGCCTGTCAAGGTCACTTTGCCAGATGCCTTTTTACCTGCTCAAGTCTGTAGTGCCAGGTAAGGGCTATGGGTCAGCAGGCACCAGAGCTGGAAGTTCTGGTAGCGGGAGTGGGACAATGGTGGGGGTGGGGGGTGGAGAGTGGTGGAGTATGAGGCAGCAACGCACAACCTACAGCATAGACTTGGGCTCAGCCTCACCAAATCCCTCAGGAGAGCAGCGTGTCAGCCCAGATTCCTCAAAGGCACCCCTTTCCCTTCCCCTCCAGGATTCAGGAAAATGGCTCCCTTATCACCATCCTGGTCATCGCTGGGGTTTTCTGGATCCACCGGCTCATCAAGTTCATCTATAACATTTGCTGCTACTGGGAGATCCACTCCTTCTACCTGCATGCTCTGCGCATTCCCATGGTGAGATGGGGAAGCTGGGTAGTTAACACCCAGCCCAAGAGCTCTTCTGCAACTTGGGAGGGCTGGGGTACATTCCTGGGCCTCAGGCATCCTCCTGCATCACTGGCAGGGAGGGAATGTCTGTTTAAAGCACAGGACCCCTGAGCCTCACATCTAATGCAGGTCAGGGGGCCAAGGCCACAAGCCCACCTGCCATGCCTTGTCTCTTCCCCCACCCCAGTCTGCCCTTCCATACTGCACATGGCAGGAAGTGCAGGCCCGAATTGTCCAGACCCAGAAAGAGCACCAGATCTGTATTCACAAGCGCGAGCTGACAGAGCTGGACATCTACCATCGCATCCTCCGTTTCCAGAACTACATGGTGGCACTGGTTAACAAATCCCTCCTGCCCCTGCGCTTCCGCCTGCCCGGCCTTGGGGAAGCTGTCTTCTTCACCCGCGGCCTCAAGTACAACTTCGAGCTCATCCTATTCTGGGGCCCCGGCTCTCTGTTTCTCAATGAGTGGAGCCTCAAGGCCGAGTACAAACGTGGGGGGCAACGGCTAGAGCTGGCCCAGCGCCTCAGCAATCGGATCTTGTGGATTGGCATCGCCAACTTCTTGTTGTGCCCCCTCATCCTCATCTGGCAGATCCTCTATGCCTTCTTCAGCTACGCTGAGGTGCTGAAGCGGGAGCCGGGGGCCCTGGGAGCACGCTGCTGGTCACTCTATGGCCGCTGCTACCTCCGCCACTTCAACGAGCTGGAGCACGAGCTGCAGTCCCGCCTCAACCGTGGCTACAAGCCTGCCTCCAAGTACATGAATTGCTTCTTGTCGCCTCTGCTGACACTGCTGGCCAAGAATGGTGCCTTCTTCGCCGGCTCCATCCTGGCTGTGCTCATTGCTCTCACCATCTATGATGAAGATGTGTTGGCTGTGGAACACGTGCTCACCA